TATTAAATCATTTTAATAGTAATGTAATTATTATTTATATGTAATACACATAAAAATGATTAGAAAATATTCATTATGTTTGGCAAACCCTTATACCTTATGGAAAACTTTTATTTACACTTTTAACTCATAATTTATATATGTTTTAGTATTTATATATTTATATTTGCAGTTTAAATCACGTATCAATTGATAGTGTATTTGATTTGAAACCGGAATACACTATACGATTGATATGTATTGTTCACAAAAACATTTACATTATTCTCGGCTGACATTAAAAAGTCAAATCTGTTTGTCAAATAAATATACACTACCACATCCCCATATAATAATACATTTATATTGTATATAAACGGCATATTACTAGTATATTATCAGTCAAAACAAATGATTGCAATTAAATTTTTTTAATTCTCTGATATTAACGGTTAGATTAGGTGAGACTTTGTGAACTGAATTCTGGTTTTTCAAGTCATTACACTTTTATAAAATATTATATTTAATATTTAGCTTATTATTTGATTCATACATTCTGCGCTAATATTATATGACTCTAGATAACCAGACTTATATATTTCAAGCGTTATAATAGATTAGAAAAATTTATTTTTTTAATATGTTTGGCATTTCAGAGGGTATTACACATTTCCAGTGGATAAATGTGTATATAATACACATTGTGTTATATATTTAATAATATTTAATTTGTCAGACTATGAACAGCGAGAGGAAAAATTGCTCACAAAACACAAACTCTAAAGTTTAGTAAACTTTTCATACTTTTGAGATAAGTCTATATTAAATACTTGACTACTTATACACCGAAAAAAGCAGAGATAAATTAAAACAATTTATTTATTAGTATTTGTTCTGACAATTGACAGCAGTTTTCACTGATACACCACTCGCCCATACCGTTACAGACAGCACTGGTAGGGCACTGGCTGTTAGACATCACTGTTTCATTTATCACTAAAACTTTTCTCGACTCTCGCTATAACTCTATGTGTAGTTTGAATACTCGGCTCAGTTTGCTGTGTGAGAGCTCTTAATGACATTAACATAACGTTAAGTATTATTAATAAATAAAAAAGTGCTTTTTTCTGATTTATATTTTTATATATAAATAAGTGATACCATTAATGAATTTATAGTAGTTTCTTGTATATGTGTTTTTATAATGAGTATATACTTTTTTTAATGTATAATATACGAAATTAACTTTTAATTTGTGACTAATTTTCTTGGATTGCATTCAAAACGAGTTTTTGGTTTTTAATAATATTTATAAATATTAAAAAAATTATATATATTTTTTGGTGGCAATGAATATATTTCGTAAAAATCAAATCCTGACGTATCTATACCTTAGATCCGAGGATAAGAATAATCCATTAGAAGTCTGTATCCAATGTTTTTGCCATAAATAATATCATTACTTACATTTTAAGCCTTAATTATTACTATTATTAATTCACTAATTTGTTTTGCATGCTAAGTATTTCGAGTTGAATTATACTCGTATATATCAACCGCTAATTGAGTGTCATCTTTATTGAATTTTATATTTAAATTCTGTTCAAAATGTTTTCATTTGAAAATGAAAATTGATTGGATATATATTTTTGAAAAGTATTTAATATTCTGTATATTATATGTCATTAAAAACTTGAAATCAACTAATTTTTACTTCAAAACTGATATATTCTGCATATCTTTTCAATATATACTTCTTATCTGTTCATTCGACTGACAATAAAAACTTTTATGATTTAAATACATTTGCTTTAAAAAAAACTTTATAATTATAATCGCATAATTGAAATTGAAATTTCATAATTGATAGCAAATAAGCAAGCGAGTATCCAATTTATAAAATATTAATTATATTAGCATATTTAAAAATAACTAAAACTATTTATCTCTATGTGCATAATATATACGTATAATTATATATAATTAAAATTAAATTAAAACCCAAATGTCTAATGTATTTATCGTTTTTGAATTGTCTGTACAGAACCACAACCGGGAGTTCATTGACGATGGTGTGACACAAATCATATCATGTCATCCCAACTATAAGGACCCCTTCGTGAGGGCACATAATTTCATATTACGAGGCGATGGACCCCTTTCCTATCCCACCCGGCAATACATTGCTATTATGGTATGTAATCGC